AATTATTATTTGTGCTTGTTTAATTGATTGAAATGTAAAAGTTGATTTGTTGATTTCAATCTGCATCATATTGAAGGCAGAAGACTTGTTGAAGGTACACTTTCGCAACGCTAAACTCAAAATCGCAATGCGAAAGCCAAAACCGCAACGCGAAAGTCAATTCGCGTTGCGATAGTCTAATACGCTTTGCGATTTTCTCGTTGTGATAGTCAAATACCCGTTGCGATAATCAAATTCACGTTGCGATAGTCAAATTCGCGTTGCGATAGTCAAATTCGCGTTACGATTTTTGAGTTGCGATAATCAAATTCGCGTTGCGATAGTCAAATTCGCGTTGTGATTTTTGAGTTGCGATAATCAAATTCGCGTTGCGATAGTCAAATTCGCGTTGTGATATTAAAATGAATGTGTAATAAGTGATAACAACTGAACAAATCATAGCAATGTTCAAACTCAAGTGACTAATACATGCCTAACTGAAAATGTTAAAAGTTTACACATAAAATACACATAATAGTCAAATTCGCGTTGCGATATTCAAATGAACGTGTAATAAGTGATAACAACTGAACATATCATAGCAATGTTCAAACTCAAGTTACTAATACATACCTAACTGAAAATGTTAAAAGTTTACACATAAAATACACATAATACAACATTTGCATTTAAAAATCACCTAAGTTAATAGTCTCAAAAGGTGAAGCCGGTTGTGATTGAGATTTTGATTTTGATTGCGATTTTGATTGCCTTTTTCTTGACACCATATGAGCTTTGGATTTTGATGAGGATCCATATTTTGGTAGAGGAAAAGATGATTGTGATGGCACTGGTGATCCACATGTCAACCTTGTATGACCACTTTCCTTGCACCGACTACATGTCGATCTCTTCTTCTCTTCACCCTTATACGGTATAAGATCGTGACTTTTTGGTCGGTCAGGTAGCCTTCAGTCCATGGCTGGTGGCAAAACTGTTTGTAAGTCATCTGGTATGTCCCACTCAGAAGGATGTGGAATAGGGTAGATAATCTCGGCATAAGTCTGTCGATATACTTCTGTAGTGTAGCAATCCATAGTGTATGCACTTGAATCATCTTAGTTTAGATGAAGAGCAACTTTTATAACATGGCCACACGGATAACCATATGTTTACCATTTCATACAACTACACGTCTTTGCATTTAGATAGACAAACCCATTTAAGTTATTATCCAGTATTTCAAACAAAGTGTTTGAACATGGTTCAACTCTCCATGACGTTGACTTCACAACACGTTTCGTTATCTTTTTTTTAGTCCATGGTGTAACACGATGTTCCAATGTTCCTGTAAATTTAAATAAATAATACTTAGTAAAATATATGATAAGTTACGAAGTTAAAGAAATAATACCTGCATGATTTCTTTTCTTGTAGTACCACTGTTGAATAGAGGCTCGAAAAAACTCCATTAACATAGTAATGGGTAATTTCTGAGAATGACGACTTAGAGCGTTGATTGATTCTGCACTATTAGACGTCATGAAACCATATCTTACTCCAAGTTGATGCACTCTTGACCATCTTTCAAACCCGACATCTTCTAGTGTTTGAGCACACTGAGGCAAAACACTTCTTAAACAATTTATATGCTTATTAAAATCCACTTCCCGATAAGCTTTTACAACCTTCCAGTATGTCCATTTGTGATTTTTTATACCAGCAGACCTTGATTTTAGATTTCTATACAAATGAACACCACAAAGTCCATGAAAAGCATCCGGAAAACACCTTCTAACAGCGTTGTCAATTGAGTTTTCCCTATCGGATATGATTGTCAGATTGCTAATAGGACCTATGCAATCCCTAAGATGCCCTATAAACCATGTCCATGAATCAGAGGTTTCAGATTTGCCAACCCCGTAAGCTATTGGCAGTATCCCATTGTTAGCATCCATGGCTACTGCTAATAAGTTTACTCCAATGTATCGACCTTTTAAATGTGCTCCGTCAACTATAATAACTGGGTGTATGCAAGTAATAAACGAACGAATCTACAAAATCATATACACAAGAAATATAATCATTTAAATGTGAAATGCATGTAACTAACAAAAATGAGTCAACAAAATTATATTGATTTACTAACCGCAGCACCAATGACGATAAACAGCAACTCAAAGCATCCATCTCTATCTGTTTTGATATGAGTTACCGACCCAGGATTTTTCAGCTTTAAATTGTGATAATAAGCCGACAGTTGGGCAAACGATGCTTCTGGCGACCCCCTCAACAATTCCAAGGCATAACATTTGGCTCTCCAAGCTTGAGAATATGAGATACTAATCTTGAACCGAACATTCATGTCAGTCATAATTTCATGTCCCTGATATACCCTGCCATTCAAAAACATTAACTCAGCCAGAAAACCACCCAACACCTTTTTGTTTGCCTGTCTATGGTGAGGAAAAACTTGGGTTCTTGAACATGTATGTTTATCAATAAAAGTCCTAACTTGAAACATTTCGCAATCTTTTATCCTCTTTGCAATCATACGCCACGTACATTTTTTTTCAATCATACACATTGTTTCGAAACGATCTTTGCTTGATTTGTTAACTTTTAGTTGATAGCCATCTTCCACACATTTCGTATACAAAGCTATCTTCAAGTCTTCCTTTGTATCAAAACAATCATCTTTCTTGATACGAATAATTTTTGTGTAACAATCAACTGTTATTTTTACCAACTCTTCTTCCGGTATCTGAAGTAATTCTGGCATATTCCAGTTATACTCCCGTGGCATTTTCTTCGGGGATTTATTCTTCTTCTTTTTCTTCTTCAGGGTTATATGAATTACAGAATGGATGTTCAACATGTTCATTCAAAGTCGTAACTTCCTCCTCATTATCAACAACAACATCTTCCTCGACAGCGTCTGTTTCATCATCAAAATTCGGGTATTGACCAATATCAAAATCATTACACGCAGGGTCTGTTTCTTCTTCTGAAGCATCATCAAAATCCGAGTATTGACCAATATCAAAGTCCGGGTATTGACCAAGATCAAATTTCGAATACCGACTATTACTCACAATTTTTTCTATTGGCTCATCATCGTCTAACTGGTTAATACGAAAACCGGAATTTGGTGCTGAAAGTTGATTGGGATTTGGATTAGGGAAAGGTTGTGGGTTTTGAGATTGTGTTTGGTATTGGAAATGTGGTGAAACAAAATTTGCTTGGTGATGAAATTATGGTGGAACCATTAAATTTTGAGCACCATAAACTGGGGTTGAAAAACTTAGTTGATTACTACCCGCTACTGACCCAACTTCACTATTTCTAGGTTCAACAACATACAATGTAACATCATCTTGCGAAACACTAATGTAAGCAATGAATCGTTCAACATCTTCATTGTCGGTTAACAAATAAACTTTACATTTTCTCTGATAAGATAGCCTAAATCCACTTAAGGGCTCTAAATTCAATTTATTTACAACACATAACATTAGAGTTTCATAAGTTAAATTTTTTAATGACAGTTTTAGTTGAAGATTCATGGGTAAAGGCATATATTGTAAAACACCATGAACATTCTCTCATGACCCTCTAAAACACAAATCTATCCAAATTTATCCAAACATGATCAACATTAGATGATTTCATTATTGTAAATTAATTTACTAAACAAACGAGCTGCGAAACTAAAACCTGTTGCCGGATGGGGAATGATGTCGTTGGATATAGGAACGGATGTCACCGGAGAGAGTGATAGATGGAGATGGAATGAGTTGCGATTTAGGGATTTAGGTTACGAGTTGCTTCTGCTGCGTAGTTATATACCCAAAACATTTGTGTTGCGAAACTAAAACCTGTTTCGAATTTGAAATTCAGTGTTGCGATTATGTATTATTGCGTTGCGATAATCAAAATCACGTTACGAATCTATAAACTGATTTGCGATACTGAAGATCGCGTTGCGATTTAGAGATCGCATTGCGAAATTTTCGATCCTCTCTTTATTTTTTTAGTTTCTCCATCTCTGTTACCGGATTAAGGGCGTGCAGCGGTGGAGCCCAAAAATGGACCTCTGCTTTGCTGTTTTTCCATGGGTCTTGTCTGCTGAGAAATAGAAGGAAGAAAAAAAAGTGAGGGAAGAGGAAAGATAGTTTTTTTTTGGTAAACTATACAGATATTCCTTTAAATTTTCAATCTGATCAATTTTGATCATCGGTTCAGAAAAGTAATTTCTTAGAGACGTCCCCTCTCATTAGTTTCTTCCTCAAATCTAATCAATCTAATTTCCATACCAATTCTCAAGTATCCATGGAAATAAAAATACAATAAAAGAATTAAAATGAAAAACTAAAACTTTACCTTCAAAATTCCAAAAACCTTAGAGACGTCCCCTCTCATTAGTTTCTTCCTCAAATCTTTACAATACATCACCCTCAAAGTCTCTATAAAAACTGTCTTTTTTTTTTGTTCTAACCATTGAGGACAACTAGTGATGAACGAGTGAAAGTCATGACTCATGGCGATGATTGCTGCAAAAGTGCTGAACGAGCAAATGTGGTACATTATTTTGTTTCATGTTTCCAACACGTTCGATGTCTTCCGCAATCTTCTTAGCATCCATTGATGTAAGGGGAAGAATTTATGGCTAACTTGATTGCGACTTGTGATCAATGTGCACGAGTGTTTGGACCGATAGATGTTGTTTAGATGTTGAGTTTAGATTGATATATATTATTTTTTAGTTTCTCGTAGAGGTGAAGAAGAAAGAAGAAAAATAATAAGAAGAAGGAATACGTCGATTTTTTTAATATTTTAATTTTCATGTAATACTTCTATTAATTGATTAACGAGAATGAATGATTAAAATTGAAAGGCTGGTAACGTAAGGATCAAAATCACTCTTTTTCTAAATTGGTGACTAATAGGGCAGACCAAAAACATAATAGATCATTTCGAATAGTTTACCTTCTTTTAGTAAGTTTTGTTTGGGGCCAAACCTCAAAACTTACATATAAAAGGAGTAAAAGAGCCACTTTTTGAAGAATAATGAAGAAAAGAAAAGGGGAAAGAAAAACTCGTCCATTTCAATTTTTCTGTTATCTTTTGTTCTTCTACTTCAATTATCTTATCACTAGTTGAAACCAACCAAATCAAAAACCAAAACCCACTTCTTCTTTTTTTGGTTTTCCCTCTCTTTTGATGTGATAGATCCATAGATCTATTGATTCTGGTTTTGAAGCTCGCATGAAGCCTTTTCCCAGATCCTCCTTTCAAAATATAAACCAAAGTGGTCAATTTTTTTTTAAAAAAGGTGAGCTTCTTTTTCTTATTGATTTATAACCTTTAATGTGGAAATCATGAGTTGAATTATGACGATTAATGGGTTTTAAGCGATATATGAAACATGGTTGTTTAAAGTTCTCAAATGTGAGACTTTAGACCTTCTGGATATCCCAATGGGTGACCAATTACGTTAGTAAAAAGATGTGACCTTTGACCGGTTCTGTTGTTTTAAAAAATATCTTCATGTTTTTATCGATTTTCCAGCAAAAGTACGGTCTTTGATTGCTCTGCTAGCTATTGATTATATAGTTATCGAGTTTATTGTATTATCAAGCTTTGAGGAGTAGTGAAGGATACTGACTTCTACTTGATGTTTGCTTGATTTAGTTGCTTTTTAGTTGTAATTTCACATTGCAGTATTGTTAACTTTTTGGCGTCTTTTGTTGTTGATGTTGCTGTAGTTTTCCATTTTTGTGTTGAGGCTCAAAGAGTTTAAGGCTCACGGTTCTGGTTTCTAGCTCCTGTTTGTATTCAGTGCTTATTTAGATGTGGAGAAATTGGAGTGTTTTTTGGAGGAGATGAGGGATGTTATCTGGGTTTATGAACTTCTTGAGGGCCTGTTTTCGGCCAAGGTCAGATCGATTCGTTCACACAAGCTCTGATGCTGGAGGTCGCCAAGATGGGCTTTTGTGGTACAAGGACTCAGGGCAACACTTTAGTGGCGAGTTCTCGATGGCAGTGGTTCAGGCCAACAATTTACTTGAGGATCAGAGCCAGCTCGAGTCTGGTTGTTTGAGTTCACACGAGTGCGGTCCCTATGGTACTTTTGTTGGCGTGTATGACGGGCATGGGGGCCCAGAGACTTCGCGCTACATCAATACTCATCTCTTTCAACATCTTAAACGCAAGTAAAAAGCCTTTGCCAGGGTTGAATTCTTGTCAAGTTTTATATTTACTGATTAATTACATGGAAGAAATATTCAATAAGCAATTGTTTTGGATAGGATAAATAATTGAAGGAATTACTGTGGTAAACTTGTTGCAGCTCTAGCTATGGTTTGTTGTTCTGAGTCCAAATGGTTATAGATTCCTGATTGTCCTTTTGTTATTTTGCGCCTCACTGCTTATTTCTTGCTGTAGAGCTCGCTTTCATCTGACATTTTTATCTTGCACTTTTTTACCGATTATGTTTCTTGTTCTGTAAAATTTGTTATGTTCAGGGTTCACATCAGAGCAACAGACGATGTCGGTTGATGTAATACAAAAAGCGTATCAAGCAACAGAAGAGGGTTTTTTGTCTATTGTTACCAAACAGTGGCCTATAAAACCACAAATTGCAGCTGTTGGATCCTGTTGCCTGACTGGTATTATCTGTGGTGGATCCCTTTATGTTGCCAACCTTGGCGATTCCCGTGCTGTTTTGGGTAGAGCTGTGAAAGCAACAGGAGAGGTTCTGGCCATTCAGCTCTCTGCTGAGCATAATGCGTGTATAGAGTCAGTGAGACAGGAGCTGCAATCATTGCACCCTGATGACCCACAAATTGTAGTTTTGAAGCACAATGTGTGGCGTGTAAAAGGTCTAATACAGGTAAGTTTCACCATGCTAAGTGCTAACAATTTTTATTTTGAGTAGTTGACTGCTAATATCGTTAAGTAATAACATCAAGTTCTAGACCATGACACTTTTTCATATCTGTGATGAGTGGTTAGGAATAAAATGAGATGAAGTAAGACTTGCTTTTATTTATGGCTTATATCTCATTTGTCTACAAGATTAGCCATGTGAATAAAGGAGCAATTATTACTCTCGTACATCTGCGCTGCAGATGCATAGAGAGCTTGAACCAGCTCTTGTTCAAGTTGAGAACTATCGAGCATGCTTGTGAAAAATATTTGAAAACTTCATTTTGTCATACAAAATTTTAGGGAAGAAGCATGAACCTGGGAAAAGTTTATCTGCATTTGAGTACTTCTCAAAATAAGAACTGAAAACAGGTCCGCAGTGTTTTTGGAGTGAAAATGTATTTTTATGATTACAATTCTAAAACAATGTTCAAGCGAAAGAAGGATTTTGATTTGTTAGAAAAAAGATTATATCGGCTGCATGATATTTTCTCTTTCAACGTGGTTAATATAGGATGGAGCCATTTAGGGGAAGAATACCTATTATAATTATTGACTACAGTTGGATGCTTGGGTTTATCTGTAAAGCTAAAAGGAAAAGGGAAATAAAAAAATATTTCTACTATGATAAAACTCAGTAATTAACAAAGATGATCGGAAGGGATAAATAGCTTACCGACTGTTGCTGAAAAGCTTTGCAATCCTAAGTCTTTTGTATTGTGTTTTGATCACGGTCATCCATTGATGTGGCATGTATCCATATATTCCAAGTCAAGCACCAAAATAGTGCGAGCTATCTGTCTAGTGGTACAGAATTGTAATATTGTTGATACTGTTTCCCATAGTATGTTATTGATAGAATTCTCGACCTTACAGATTTCCAAATCTATTGGCGATGTATATTTGAAAAGGGCTGAGTTCAACAGGGAGCCTTTATATCCTAAATTCCGCCTTCGCGAAACTTTCAAAAAGCCGATATTGAGCTCAGACCCTTCAATATCAGTGCACCAGCTGCAGCCACATGATCAGTTTGTGATATTTGCATCTGATGGGCTCTGGGAGCACCTAAGCAATCAAGAAGCTGTTGATATAGTTCAGAATCATCCACGAAGAGTAAGTTTAAATGTTTAATGTCATGTATCTGTCATGAATTGTAATCTTTTCTCTTATCCCTCTGAAGCTTTCATTTGATTTCAAGTATGAAAACCTTTTCTAGTCGGTTACTGATTATAGATAATAGAGTATAGAATTCAAGTTGTTAAGAAGCTTTGATCATTTATCTTGAAAATATTTCCTTTGTTACATGAGATATGACATTTTGCGGTTGCTGCTATTTCAATATCTTAAAATAAGGATTCCAAAAGAACGGAAAAAATCTAACCTTTTATCCACTTTGGTCTACAAGCAGGGAATTGCAAAGAGGCTGGTAAAAACTGCATTACATGAGGCAGCAAAGAAGAGAGAAATGAGATATTCCGACTTGAAGAAGATTGACCGCGGTGTCCGTCGCCATTTCCACGACGACGTCACAGTTATTGTGGTGTTTCTTAACTCAAACCTCGAGATCAAGGCAACCTCTGTTAAGGCTCCTAATCTATCCGTTCGAGGCAGAGGAGTCACCTTGCCTCATAATACACTGGCTCCTTGTGCTATGCCAACTGAAGCTGGCAGTACCTGATCATGCCGCATCACATGTATTTCTTTGTTGTATGGTCTTCTTTATGTGAATACCAGGTAGCTTCCGGAAAGCGACGAAAGGAGCAAGCCTTCGATTCTTTAATGTACACTGTAACTTTTAACTAGAAGCTAGTACTTTGCATTTCGCATCGGTGCCGCCGAAACACTCTAAGAACTAGAAAGGAGTACAAAGTGACAATTAGTATAGTTAAATTTACCTGGGAATAGCTGCCTTAAAAGTATATACGTTAGTCTTCTTTTGTTCTTCATCTGGTGCATTTGTTCTTACTGTTAAACTTCATGTACTTACCTGCTTCACAACTGTTAACATTGTTGCATTGTACAAAGATTGTGAGATTTGGATGAAGCAGGTCAAGATTATTAATTTAATACATCATCTCACTTAACTAAACTGGAACTAGTCAGTGAAGAACAACTCCATGTTTTATATCAGGTCTCCTAATCCTTCAAAATGGCTCATCTGCTAGTGAATATTGGCTGTTTCAGGCATTTATGGTTGTGGGGTGGTTACTGCTTTGTAACCTGTTCTTTTATACAATATTATATGTAAGTTATTTCCATGGCTCATCAGTTTTCGAGTTTAAATTTGATTTAACATCATAAAAAAATGGTTGTTGGGACATGAAGTGAAACCAGGATGAGGTTGTCCAAGATCTTTAACTCTCTTTGACTAGTGTCGTTAGGTATTTTGATTTCCTGTTGTATTCAAAGGGAGAATACAATATATTTTTGCAGCCAATCAAAGCTTGGGGTATTGAGAATGGAGGAAGTAGGCAATTCCCGAGGTGGGAATAACATTTGTCAGATTGTGTCATGGCCATATTCTCGCTAAATCCACACTAAATAACCCCTTTTCCAATTATTATTATATTTCTCTTCCCCAACCTACACACTATGGCTCCATTCTCAAAGCCATTGATCCTCAATCCTCAGCATCAATCAATAAACAAAGCAAAACCCACCAAAGCAGCACCACTGACATAAAACCCCATTTGCATTTGCTCCCTCAATGGCAATGCCATTGGGTGACAAAAAAACAAATGAAAATGAGTTATGAAGAGTTTTGTGTGTTAGGAACTTAAGATTGTGCTAACAATAATATATACTTTGACTTGAAATGGAATTTCGAGATTTGATTCTTTTATCTTTACCAGACTTTTTTCTCAGCATTGTCCTCTGTACTTTCCTTTGGTTTTCCAAACTGAAATCCAGTAATCTTATCAATTATATTTTGTTTAAGTACATTTGTTATTAAGTTGAATATATGCCAATATATGTAAGAGGATTCCTTTCCTTTTTTTCAACAACAAAAAAATGGAAAAAGGAAGAAAAAAAAAGTAGAATGAAGCTGATGACACCTTTGTATAACACAGGCTAATTATAACCTGCAACTTCATGTGGAATTGTCAGTAGTTTTCTGGCATAACATTATTCATTTATGGACCAAACAAGAACCTTCTTTTTTTCTAAACATCACCATTCAGAGCTCTAAATCCTTGCAAAAATATGGTAATGCTTTTCACTTATTGCCAATAAACAATCTTAGTTAAAGAGATTTGTGAATAGCAGTAAAGACAAGTACATACACTCAAGCTTAAACTACTGCTTTTGTAAATTCACATTAAAGATTTAATACAAGCTTAATATAATACAAAATATAATATAAAACAATATATAATACGAAAAAGATTCATCCAGTACATACTTCTAAGCAAAAGACAAGAGCTCCCCTTCCTTCTCTGGGGTGTTTGCAGTGGTGTGGTCACTATCCTTATAACTAGAGTACATTTGACTCTTCGTTTTACTCATCAGATTGCCCAATGGAAATAGATGATTTGACTAAACTGACCTTTTTTACTGAAATTTTCTCTTTCTAATAATATTTCTCGAACTATCACCTTTTCGGTTGAGGTGGCACAAAGACACATATTCAGAGACGCGTTTTACCTGAGTTTTTGTTTATTGAAATGCCACGTGTGTAAGGTGTATCTTAGGAATGAGCTTTCACGGGGTTCTGCTGAGTCGAATGACAAGTGGGTAAGGCGCATCCCCGGAGACGCGCCTTCCATTAAATGCAATAAATGCCCATCCGTTTTTTCCCCCAACTACCATTCCTCCTCCCTTATATAAACCCCCTCAAGCCCCTTTATTATTCACACCAAAATCTTCTCTTCTCTTATATAACTCATATTCTTCAACTATTTAAGTTTTAAATTTTTTATTAGTGGTAAGAAATTTATTTTTAAATTAGTATTTTTAATAGTTTTATATTTAGTAATATAATTATATAAATATTATTTTTTATTAAAATAATATTTATATAATTATTATTTATTTAAATTTATTAATTAATTATTTTTGTGCTAATTATATATATTTTTGTCTACGGATATAATGAAAAGTGAAATGCTATTGCGATTGGATGCAAACTATATCTCCAGACATTTTACTAATATGGTAATTTTTTTTATATTAAGTAAATTTATTATTATTTTAATTTAAATTTATAATGAATTTATATTAATTATAAATTTTTATAATGCATATTATTTAGGAAACTGATCGTATTTTAGAGACTTTTATTAAAACCCCACATATACTGACACCGCAACGTATTTTGCCATATTTGTCTTTTACCGGGTTCGGGTATATTGCAACAATTATTGGCGGTTGTAAACTCGAACCTGTCCTAATTTTTGCATTGATTGAGAGGTGGAGGCCCGAGACACACACATTTCATCTTCCATGTGGAGATGCTACAATTACATTGGAGGATGTTTCTATGCATCTGGGGCTTCCTGTCGATGGGAATATTATGTTTGGTATGGCGGATGGTGATTGATAGTCAATGTGCATGGAGTATCTTGGAGCTGTTCCGCCAGAGTTTAATGGAGGTAGAATAGTTTTATTATGGTTGAAAGTTAATTTTGAAGTTCTAAATGAAAATGCTTCAGATGATGAAGTAAATGCATGTGCTCGGACTTATTCTATGAATCATTGGAGGAATATTAATGCCCGACAAATACAATGCAACCAGGTGCATTGTATGTGGTTGCGTCATCTGATTGATTTTGATGAAGCTAGAAGATATAGTTGGAGCGCTGCAGTTTTGACATTTCTCTTTAGAAAAATGTGTCATACGACAAATTATAAGAAAACTACTATCGGTGGATGCCTCCTGCTTCTGCAATCATGGGCATGGTTCTGCATGCCTTTCTTATGCCCGATCGTCAATGAACATACATATTCCCCTTATTATTGAGGTAATTTTCGAACTAAATTTTGATTTAAATATTTTTAATTAAATACGATGATATTTAGTTTATATTATTTCATAGGTTTTGAAAGAAATAACCATATAGATATACCTACTGGACTAGAGGAAATTCGTTTACTTATTGATACAAAAGTTGGGTCTGAGGTATGTTTTGAAATTTGTTTAAATATGAATATATATAATTTAAAATATTATATATAATTAGAATATTATATTTATTTGAATTGTATATTTATATTTCAGTTTCAATGGATACCTTATGCGAGCGATGAAGTAAAGACTTGTATCTCACCCCACCTGAGAGGATCATTAGAGGTTTGGATGTCAGTTGTACATCTTATATGTTATGTAATTATTGAGTGGCATCCAGTTGATCGCATGCTTCGTTAGTTTGGTTGTACGCAATATATTCCTTGAGCACCTAGGAATTTAGACGACATGCATAACATCAATAGACGAGGCAAGAAAAAGGTTAACTGGGTGGTGAGACACAGAGATTAGATTGCGCTTTGGGAGAACCGGTATGCACAGTTAGCCCCTCGACAATTTTACGCTGAAACTGGTCATATGGTTACAGATAACTATATGGACTAATTTAATGAAAATGGAAAGATGTTTCTACTTTCGACGGACGCACGAGGGGTTAACATTCCTAGGCGTCAAGAGTGACGTCCACCGTCTCAATATTATCGTCCCCCGACTCGTGGACGGAGAGAATATGCTACCGGTTCTGCATCAGTCCCACCACAATATCCCTATCCACCAATAATGATGCACAGTCCTCCAGTTCAGATGTCATCTCCTCAGGGGTATATGTCATGCCAACCAGTTTATATGTCATCTCCACAGGGTTACATTCTTAGCCCTCAGGGTTACATTCCTAGCCCGCCAGGTTATATGTTTAGCCCGCAGGGTTTTATGACACCATATGGATGTGCATATACGATTATGTTTAATGATCCAATATATGGTTTATATGCATCTTATTTGGCTGGTGGTCATTCTCCACAGACACCTCAATCTCTATCTGGATCACAGACATCGATACCAATGTTTTCACACTTTTCTCAATTTTCTATAAGTGGTGGGATTGTTAGTAGCACTCCTCCAGAGTCATTATTTTATACCGGCCCTTCAGCGTCATCTACAACACCAGCCGAAGAAAATGCCGATGATGATGATGATAGTGAAGATGAGGAGACTGAAGAACAAGTTCCCCGAAGAAATCCTCAGCGAAATAGACAACCACTGCCATGTGGAACTCATTCGAGTAGACGACATCGATGATCCAGTTGTATTTTAATGTTATTTAAATAGTTATATTTCATAAATTTATGTAATTTGGTTATGTTATTTAAATGTTTCATGGTTGTTAGAATAATATTTTTAATGTTTTTATTCAAATTTAACATTAAATGTTTTTAATATACAAATTATAGTATTCGAAATTTAAAATTAAATAACAAATTATGGTATTCGAAATTTAACATTAAATTCAACTTAATATTCCAATTGTATTCAAATTAAAAGTTTTCCAATTATAGTTCACATTACTTAAATTGAAATTAAATTTATCCATACGTATGATTTTATCCTTAACATATACATTAAAACATATACATTAAAATCAATTTATCACTTCATATTTATTCGTAAAATCATGTCGATGCTCATTCCATACATTCAATAATTCTTAAATTATAACCGAAACACTTTACATAATATATTAATAATTTATAATAACAATAAAAATAAATTTATTATTATTAAAAAAAATACCAGCGTGGCATCCGACTCAGCAGATCCCATATAAAGAGCATCCTCAGGAATGCGCCTTACACATGTGACATCCCAATCAACAAAAACTCAAGTAAAACGCGTCATCGGAATGCTCCTTTATGCCACCTCAATCGAAAGGTATTACTTCAAAAAAATATTAGTAAAAAAATATTAAAAAAAAAATTTCAACTAGAAGGTGTCAATTTAATCAAATTACTATGTAAATATGTCTGCTTATAAAATGGAAATAATATATATTTTTTAGTGTTTTTAGTCACCAATTTCATAGTGTGCAAATAACTAAACAAAGGAGCTCTCTTCTCTGTCTCTCTCTCCTTCTCGAGCCCCGACCCTGTTTACTTTACCTTACTAACTCTAATCTCTTACCAGTTCCCTTTTAACTCTGTCATTTACTGTTCTACTTGCCCTTTCTATCATTATATTTAACTAAATGAAGTAACTAATTTTCATTACAGTTAACTAAATATTTAGATTACAGTACTTCTGCAGGTTCTAAAACTCCTCATAAAGCTCCTTGTAAAATCTTTCTTTCTTCCATTTTGCTAAAACAACACCTCCTTTTTATCAGAAAAGAAAGCTTTTTTTTTTTTTGAAAACCAGAAAAGAAAGCTTAGATTCCTCCAAAAGATTACCTTTCTTTACCATATCCCCATACATTCATAAGTTAGTAGCTTCTAAGCCTACTGAAACTAGGAAAAAGAAGGAAAACAAAAACTCCCCCCTTCCCTCCCCCACCCAAGGCTTTTAGCAAAGGGAAATGGGTTGTGTTGCTTCAAAGCTAGAGGAAGAAGAAGAGGTTGTGTCAATTTGTAGAGAAAGGAAACGTCTTATAAAGTTAGCAGTGGATAGAAGATATGCACTTGCAGAAGCACATTTTAGGTACTGTCAAGCTCTTTATGCTGTGTCAGCTGCCATTAAGCTCTTTGTAGCTCGCCATTCATCACCTGCTTCACCTTTTCTCATCACTTTTCCTCCACCTTGTCCGACTACACCACCGGCCACGGACCAAAACGTGATGACCAACCCAATGTTGCTTCAACAAAGGCCTTCGGAGTCCACTACCCATGAAGCCATTGCTCGTGAGTCTTGTGGTTCTTCGACAAGCTCGGACAGTTCAGAGGAAGTGACTGAGCAAGAGGTGGTGAGAGAACACCACCACCACAACCACCAACAACAACAACAACAACATTGTGAGTACTTTTATATGCAAATGCCACCACCAATGCCATCACCGCAAAGGGATTTTGGGTGGGACTTCTTTAATCCGTTCGATGTTGCTAGACCAGAGATTCTGAGTGGGTATAACAGGTGTTCCGAGGATGATTTAAGAGCGGTGAGGGAACAGGAAGGGATTCCGGAGCTAGAAGAGGAAGGGGACACCAAAGAGGAAGAGAAGAAAGTTGTCATTGTTGAAGAAAAAGATAACAAAAGGGAGCATGGGGAGAGTGAAAGTGGTGTGTTGAAAGTGAAGGAAGAGACACATGTGAGCGAAGGAGAACAAAAAGGGCTTACAGTGATGGATAGCCCAGAAAAAGGAAGGGAACTTTTAGAAGCCTTGAAAGATATTGAAGATTATTTCATCAGGGCTTATGATTCTGGGAAAGATGTATCAAGAATGTTGGAAGCTAATATGGTTCATTTGCAATCTGGTTTGGAGGGAATTAAAGGTCGGTTCTTTTGTCTCCCTTCACATATTTTGAGCTTGATTCAAGCTTTAGTATATGTTTAGAACTAGTAAAAATTGTTTAAGTTTGCATTTGAAGTTATTTTCTGCTTCAAACTTGTGGGTTAACTCCAGTTTATGAGTATATTGTACAAAAATCTCGAGTCTTTATCCCCCAGCATTTACACTTGTGGGTCTAACATTCAGTTATTGCCTTGTCCATGGCCCTCTAGTATAATTTGATGGTCCTAATGTCCATATCATAACAGGCGATCACTGACTGCTAATTTTCTTGCAGAGAACTCGACTAAAATCATCCAGGCTATTACATGGCATCGATCCACTTTGTCTAAGGCTCAATCATGTAAGAGTCTGGTGGCATCCAGTTCAAAAGGTTCTTCAGCATGGACAGAATATAAGACTGATCTGTTTGATCAATATGGAGGAATGGATTCCGGAAGCCATTCATCAACACTGGGAACACTTTGTGCGTGGGAAAAGAAGCTTTACGAAGAGGTTAAGGTAAAAAAAAATCAATATTCATTTTAGCAAAGCCAATTCGAGTTCGAGTTCTGACACATATTCGAACATAGTTATGTGACGCATGAATTCTGCAAATTAAGAGAGTTAGCCTTTTCTTTTGCTCACTTAATTTTTCTCTTCCTCCTAATCTGTTTTGGTATTTGATATGTTTTAACTTACCATATAGGCTGGTGATAGCACAAGGAAAATTTATGAGAGAAAATGTTCTCGACTGAGAAACCAGGATGTCAAGGGATATGATGAGTTTACAATGGATAAAACCAGAGCAGCAGTAAAAGATTTGTATGCCCGAATCTTGATTGCAATTCGAAGTGCTGAATCAATCTCAAAGAGAATTCAGAAACTCAGAGATGAAGAACTTCTTCCTCAAATTGTTGAACTGTTAAAAGGGTAGGTAAAAGAATCTTTAAAGAAACCTAAATTTTCATCTTAACTTTGGATTTTGATTCAACCTTCCCTTCTATGCAGCCTAAAACGAACCTGGAAAGTTATGCTTGAATCTCATGAAACCCAAAACAAAATTCTCTCTGAAGTGAAATCTTTCGCCTGCTCTTCGTTTGGAAAGTTCTACAACGATTCTCACCGGCTTGCTACGCTTCAACTAGAGGCCGAGCTTCAAAACTGGCGTGCTTGCTTTAGGGAGTATGCTGCGGCTCAAAGAGCATACATTCAAGCTCTTCATGGTTGGCTAACTAAGTTCATGGCTCCTGAAGTAGAATTTTATTCCAGAGGGAGGAGCTCTAGTGCCCCATATGGAGGTAATGGGCCTCCACTTCTTGTGATATGTTATCATTGGTTAAATTCCATGGAAGAGTTACCAGATAAGGCAGTCACCTTTTCATTGAAAAGCTTTTCTAAGGATGTAAAGGCACTGTGGGCTCAGCAAGGGGAGGAACAGCAACAGAAGAAGGAAGTTGATGGTATGGCAAAAGAACTTGATAGAAGGACCATGGCATTCCAGAAGGCTGAAACCAGGTTCTTGGAATCCAAGCTGCTTACGGAATTAAAATCCGAGTACGATACGGAACAGCGGAATGAATATCTAATGGAGAAGAAAGATCAGTTGGATATGATGAGGAATAGGTTGGATGTGGAAAGAGAGAAACACCACAATTACATGCAAGAAACACAGAGAATCACATTGAATGGATTTCAGAGTGGGTTTTCAACTGTTTTCGAGTCCTTAATCGAATTCTCCAAGGCTTCTACGAAAATCTACAATGACCTTGTGACTCTAAGTGAAAATGCTGCAAAAATGGGGAATATGTCGTATGTCGAGGGCTCCAAGGTTGAGGAAAATGGTAGCAGATGACATAACAAATCTAAAGAGATTTCTGAGAATCTTGCTTTAATGAGTTTGATGCAGTTTCTACTTGTATATTATTGCATATCATGTCTAAGCAGCTCTCTTAGGCAAATTTAGTTATGTTTCCGGGCTGTTTCAGTTCTGATGATATAGCTGATTGTTTATCATCATCATTACATGTCTAATGGCTGTTGATGAAAGATCTTTGCAAGAACTTCAAGATTATCAGTTTCATTTCTTTTTCGGGTTCAAGACCTCTGCAAGTGCTGCATTTTAATAAGCATTAGCTAATACTAACAGCTATTTGTAATGAACCAAAACCTTTGACAGGAATGCAAATGGAAGTAGTGTAGCCAACCCACAAACCGAAGTTAATTACATGTTCAAACATGATTTTTTTTATTGGATTTCATAATGATTGAAGCTCCATTAGCTTCAATCTGTAATATTATACTACATGCAATGATACACATCCTGAAAAGGCTTGGTTATGATCATGAAAATGAATAGTTACATGTTTTACAATTTATGTTATAATTTAAGGAAATAAACTGAAGAAGAGAGAAAGGATAAAAGAGGTATAGAAAGAAAAATTCGATCATTGAATTTAAGAGATTATAATAGTTAAAATAAATTGAGTTACTGACTTCTCTGCTGAAGATAAAATTTAATTTAGTTTAAATGAATATTTGCCATTATTAACTTGTTTAGAATTTCTACCTAAGATTGTACAGTTCCAATTGTTGACTGTCAATCGACTAAAGATCATGCATAATCTGCATTCATATATACTTCTAACGAAATGCTTGAGTTTATTTGATGTTTGAACAAAATTTGTTTTCTTAGGTTGCCTTTCAAGTCTTGTATTAGTCTGTTTACTATTTAGACATGATTCTTCTGTACGATGCATAAACTGATTGACTACATTTACTGCAAAAGCTATATATGATCTAGCATGCGCCAAATATATTAACTTTGCGATCAATCTATGATTGGACCTTTTATCACCATAGGTTCTTCTGGTGCATCACATAATCCATAATTAAATTTAATTGACGTCTTAATTAAATTGCAACCAATTGTCTAGGAAGTGTTTCAGTTTCCCAACTCTTTAATGTCAAATTCCTTCGAAGGCATTCTTTCAAGTTCTTTATTTCTTCAACGTCATCACTCGTATCATCCACGTACACTAGAAATGATTAATTTTTTTCCAGAAATGGAGTGCTTTATGAATAATATATGATCACCTTAACTTTACATATATCTATTGAGATCATTGACTTGATAAATTTTTCAAACAAGAGTTGTGAAGAATGTTTGAGCCCGTTAAAAGTTGTCTTCGGTCTACAAATCATTTTCTTCTTAAATTCAAAATCAGAAGAAACTTGCACACAACCTTTCTCTTCAAAATTATCACCAAGGAATGCATTCGAACCAGTGTAGATTCAATTTAAAATTAGCTGCCAAAGATAAGATAATATCCTATGAAAAATATCTTCTTGCCAAACTACGATGGTCATTGTTGTGTGGTGATGCTTGAATAATTACTACATCATGAATGAAATTTTGTTGTTATTTAGGTGCTATTAAATTTAACTTATTACATCATATCTTTTTATGTACAAATAAATATATAACGTTGAATATGATTTAAAAATATTTACTAAAGTGATTAAAACAAAAATAAAATAATAAATTAGTGATTAAATAAGTAATTTATCTTAAATTTAATGATTAATGGTGTAGTTTACTTTTGTTTCTTCGGGATAGTGGTGTAGTTTAATCTTAAAATTAAGGCGCACTTGGGACTAAAAACACCGTATAATTTTTCCTTTTAAAAGTTGCCGACCCGCTCTCTTCCGTTAATTTTACCCCTTTCCGTTTCCTCCCCCGTCCCAGACCCAAAGCCGTATTTTTCCTTATTTGAATTAAATAAGTTATTTTGAACCCTAAACTCAACTTGAAGATTTCTACTTCAATCACGAGATTTTGAGTAACGTTTGCTTTGTGTTATCTGATTTCTGCTAGTATAGTGTTCTCTGTTTTCGATCCTATTGCTCATCCCTCGTCTCCTCCTCCAGTGTCCAAGGCAAGCCCTCTATTGCATTCAAGCTTCCGACAGACCAGGGAATATATCAGGTATTTTTTGAAACCCTAAACCCAATTTGAAGATTTCTTTCTACTTGAGTCACGAAACTTGGAGTTATCTGGTCTCTCTGCATCAAAATCAATCTTCTATATTTGTTTTTCTGTTTTCGACCCTGATGTTTACCCCTCTCCTACTCATCCAGTGCCTGACGGAAGCCGCCTCTTGCTTTCTAGTTTCCGATTGATCAGCGTATTAAGTAAGGTAATTTTTGGAACCCAAAACCTAAGTTGGAAGATTATTCTGCTTGAGTTCTTAGATTTTGAGTTTTATAGTCTCTGCATCAGTGTAGTATCTTTTTTTCTGTTCTCAATCCTTCTGATTGTTACTCTGTCTCTGTTTACATTGTTGAGAAGATTTTTTTTTTAAAAAAATCTGTTTGTTTACTGGAAATAGTGGATCGCTATGGCCTCTATTTTCTGCAGCAATCTGCTGCTATTGATGTGAAATTTGTCACACATCTACTTTGTTCTTTAGTCGGTGTCTGACAGCACTGGAACTGTGAAATAGAGGGCAAGACCACCTCAATTTGGAACTTTGTTACTGATTTGTATTTCGTTTGACACTAGATTCAGTTTACTGATTTGTATTTTCTTTGAATTAGATTCAGCTATGGAAGCTGACCATTACTGCATCCTGGGCTTACCTTCCGGCGAGGAAGGAGCCAATTTGACCACAAAAGAAATTACCAAGGCTTATAGAGAAAAGGCCCGTGATCTTCATCCTGATAAACGAAAAGATGATCCAAATGCCCATGAAAATTTTATAAAGCTCAAATCCTCATACGAAATTCTTGTTGACGACAAAGCTCGTAAGCTTTTCGATGATCTCCTCTGGGTGAAACGTGAACAGCAACGTCGTTTTGCACAGCAAGACTCAAAGCGAAGAAAAATGATGTCAGATTTGGAAGATAGAGAACGTGCTTCTTTTACTCCGGATCCTGCTGTTACGGCTAAAGAAGAAGAAGAGAGAATTTCAAGAAAATTAAAAGAGGAGATCGCAAGGATACGTGCAATGCATGCAAATAAGGGTACTGGTATGAGTACGGGCTCAAGTTCAGGCTCGAATCAAGACAAGGTTGGAAGAGAAGGGAATAATGGGGGTGGGGCTAGTGTGGAGTTGGATAAAGAGGTTTTAAAGGTTTCTTGGGAAAGAATTGGGGAAGGTTATACAGCAGAGAAGCTAAGACAATTGTTTTCCAGGTTTGGGGAAGTGGAGGATATCGTAATCAAAAGCTCAAAAAAAAGAGGGTCTGCTCTAGTAGTCATGGCTACTAAAGAAGCAGCTGTAAGTGAATTTCTTTTGTGTCATCTTATTTAAGTTTCGTTGTTTTATTTTCTTCAACTTGTATTTTTTTTCTTTGCAGGTTACTGCTACGGGAAGCGTTACTGGGGATCTACACAATCCATTGCTGGTCATGCCTCTTAAACCGGTAATTGTTGCAGATTTTCCAGCTCCCCAGAAGGCCGAGGAATCTGATGGTTTCAGTAATCTGGTTGGGGCTGGTTTCCAAGCTTTTGAAGATTCTGTTTTATCTAGACTGAAAAAGGTATGGCCTTGCCTGCAGTATGTAATTTTAAGTTTGTTAATTAGATCACATTAAATTTATTGTTAAATTTGCACTATCTGACATTTGATTCTGATTTTGAACAGGCTGCCGAAAAACAAAAGTGATGTAGAGAAGCCTTGAAGATAATGTCTAAACTCACATTTTAACTATACAATAAGGATGTACTAACCCTTAAAATTTCAAATTATTGTATCTCTTAGATATATACTTTGTATTTTTATTAAAATTTGTTTTCGCTTTCTTTAAATTTTATAAGTGTCATTTTTTAAAATTTTAAATTTTCTTAATTAATTGATTACCCACATACTCTATGTATATGGTTGTTCAAATTTGAGATTTCTAAGAAGAACAAAATTACTTTTTGTGACAGACTTCAATTGATGGATTCAAAATCCTTCTATTCTTTAATTGAAAATAGTTGTATTTAAATATAATCAAGCTCGCATATTCTCATATTATAATAATGATATTAATGAAATTAATATTTATCACTGTCAATTTTTTTATTAGTCTTGTATAAACTAAAGTTGCACTAGAAACTCAAGCACATGCTCGATCAAGTTCCCCATTTGATCAAATTGTCACGTCCTTGGAGCCTTAAACTTGGGAGCGTGTGGCCTTATATGCTCTGGAACCATTCTTGGGCGTTTTACACCTAAGTTAGCCTGAAAAAACACTAAGCTAGAAGACTTAGATCAACATTGAACACTCAAGAATTCTGAAAGGAGATAACTCACACAAACAAAGAGAGAGTTTGGTGAATACTCTTTGTATTCCACCAAATGAAATGAAAAGTGAAGTGAGTACAAATGAGGTGGGGAATGCCTTTATTTATAGTTGAATCCCCTTACAATTGAGGTTAAGATCAATCTAGATCAATGGCTAAGATGAGCCCTATTAATTACAAATCTTCATATATAAGGAAACTCAATCAAATTAGCATCCATGCAAATCAATTAGTCTCATTCTTTCCTTTGATTGAAGATCTTCCCATATATGGAAAGATTCTTCCATGATCCTTCTTGATATGATATTGTCCCCTGCCATATTCTCCACTTCGGATATGATGCCACTTTCCATATTTGCAGGTTCAATGTGAACGGGCTCCTTAACTTTCTGTATGGATTGGGACAAGTATGATGGATTAGTCACGTCGAACACCTTCTTGAGAACCTCTATCCCAGACTCAAGCACACATGTCTCGGGCTCTATCTCTAGGGGCGTGACATTCTTCCCCATCGAACCTAGCGAAGCCCTCGTTGCACCACTGAAATGTACTTGGACTTGCCCACCTCGATTCCTTCCCGATGCATTGGCTTGTTGCAGTTCCCCTATATGAACTACTTGCCTCGGCTTCTGCTGCCATGTAACCTTATACTCTTTTATCCCCTTGCGCACACCTCGATTGTAGAAACCCCTTTATACCCGCCTAAACTTGTCTCCGTACGGATTGTCTCGATCCTTTGGCAAAGGCTTAGACGACTCCCCTGGTCTCTTCCAACCTTTAACCACTCTACTTTGGTGGTTAGGTCCTCATTGGCCTAGACTCACTGAAGATGGAAAATTAGACTTAACGACACAAGAATTGTGTTCGAGATGTACCTTGTTCCTTTCTGTTACATTCACCTAAAAATGCATCAGTCATACTTTCTCCTCGGAGTCTGGGCTTCATGCATCAACACTTCTCCCTTGAAATTCAGTGCCCCTGGTTGCATCAAATCTTCCACCTTGAAGTCCAGTGCCTCTACCACCTCACCCATTGGTGGTGTCTCCATGTCATTCGAGAGCTTGGATCCCTTCCTTGATGTTCGTCTCCTTTGTAACATATTCAACAAACTAGGTAAATGTCACTCCCTTGATCCCTTTTACCTCATCTCGTTTCAAAGGCATAATGCATTGTTGTTTAGGATCAATGATGGTTAAAGCATTAGAGTAGGGGAAAATGAAATCTTTAACACAGTCAAGAAAACTTAGACCGATCACAAAATCAAAATCATCTAATGGGATTATCTTGATGCACACCTTGTCCTTTCATTCCTCAATATGTAGTTCAATCTTCTATGCCTCTCCAATAATTGGTACTCCCTCAGAGTTGATAGTCTTGATCACCCTTTTTTCTTCTCCACTTGGAGACCAAGATTGTCAGCAACTCTCTTGGACATAAATAGATCGGTTACCCCAGTGTCCACCATAACACTCTTCAATCGTCCCACAACATTGATGTCCACATACATCAACCATTTTTGCTTTTGGCTCTCATACGCCTTGACAGAACTTAGGATCATCGTTCCAAACCTCATAGCCTCATCACCTGTAGGCTGGTCCACCTCCTTGAACGCCTTGGCTCGATCCCCGCAACCATGTGACCCCTCACCTTGGTGGTACCTCGGTTGCTCCACTTCTCCTTTCGGCTTACTCGCCTTGATGATCCTAATTGTGCCAAGTGTGGCTACCTATGGCTCGTTCTACTAACACAAGATGGCAACCAAATTGTCCCTCTTAGGGAAATCCCTTGCTATGTGTTTGCCCCCACAAATGTAGCATGTGAGATGTTCTCTATTTCTCTTTAGGTCTCTGTCTCTGTCTCTGTCACCAGATGACCAGAACATGCCTTTCATACGGAATCGTCTGGATCCTCCGTTCCTTGGCATTCCCTCGCCCTTTTGATGTTTTTCAGATTCATCCTTGTATGATTTCTCTCTACCTTCCCACTATTACCCTTGTATCTCAGCTTTGGCTCGCTCTTCACAGTCTCAAACTGTGATATGGTCTCGGCTACGGTTAGTGCTTTAGAAAGGTCGTGGACATCCCTCTGTTGGATCCCCATCTTGGCCCATCGTTGTAGTCCAGCCATAAAGACGCATAATCCCTCATCTTTGATCATGGTTGGGATTTTCAATTTAAGTTATATGAATCTTTTTGTAACACCCCCAACCCATACCCGACCCGGATATGAGTCAGAGATACTACATTGACTTTAAAACACAACTCTTAACAAATAATAGTAAAATATTTGAACTTATATTAAGAAAATACAATAATATACATAATGTAATATAAGTTTACCAAAATATTCAGAGCATACACAACTTAACCCTTTAATTACATGCCAACTGCTATTTACATAACAAAATGACCTACTGATTAAGTTGCTTCTGATCTGATGGTTGCAGGAGTAATACTGTCAAGCTGCTTCACCTGTCTCGTCTATTTCCTCGGATCCTACGTGTGAAACACACGCTAAGTCATCGACTTAGTGAGGCAATAATAATAAAAGGCAATGTAAGTAATGAAAATGTCATGATCATATGAGATGAGATGCAAACATGTACTTAATCAATGTAGTATACATCATCAATATCCATACCTGTAAGCATATGACTGTAACATTCATGAATCTGTATTAATAAGTTTATTGGCCAATGATAGCATATTGAGAACCTAAGGTATCGGAGTAAATTGAGGTTGTGCACTATGCTATCACCACAGCTCGTATAAATGCACCGAAGTGCCCCGTAGAATTGCACCGTAGTGCCATATAATGATGTCCATAAGGACCACATAGAATTTCTTAAGAATCGTATACATATACTATGGATCAAGTATGTGTCTTTCAAGACTTCACACATGTTCCAAAGAATATACATATGTCCCAAAGAACCGCGTAGAATTGCACCGTAGTGCCATATAATAATGTCCATAAGGACCACATAGAATTCCTTAAGAATCATATACATATACTAGGGATCAAGTATGTGTCTTTCAAGACTTCACACATGTTCCAAAGAATATACATATGTCCCAAAGAACCGCGTAGACCCTCTACCCTTGGCATGCCAACTATACTTATAGTTCTCATCTACATAACATGGGCTTGTACATTTCACGTAGTCTATATCGCGTGGAAATGTAATTCCTTACCTTTTCACATAGCTCATAACTTTTCCCACATATTCATGTTATATAATGCATTTTATATGAACTCATGTCATGTCTCATAATACCGAATATGCTCATGTACCAAGATATAAAATCTAGACTTATCACAAGTCTAGAATGGAGTATATTTCTATAATCATGCTATGCATATGCACTCACCTATACTTATTTGCCTTTTCCTCGATCGATCCTACTTGTAGATTGTTCCCGAACTTGTGTAGGCTCGGTATCTACATAAACATAATTTTCAAGATGATCATCAGATGTCTATGTCTTGAAATTAAGCTTTAATAGCTTACTAATTTAAGAAATTAATAGCTTAGTCTTTCTTTCTTTTCTTCTTTTTTTTATGGGGGAATCGGTTCCCCCCCTGGGGGTATCGATTCCCCTCTAGCATTCTGGAAATTCATATTCGTTGAGGGGGTATCGGTTCCCCTTGAATGGGTACCGATTCTCCTAACCCGAAAATCCTATTTTGAGCTCGAAAATCCTTTCCTTTCAGCTCAAATATACATATTTCAATCCCTTTAATACTCTTAGCTCTCATACACTTACTTAAACTAATTATTATCCATTCAATACCTCTAAAACTAAGAAAACTACTCATCCATATAGAATTGAAGAATCTTACTCCAATTCCAACTTGTTCTAATTTCAATTATATTACTTCATACTTCTTAATTAGCTTATTGACAAGTCAAAAATCTTATTCAAACATCAAAAACTCATACATATCAAAATTTCATCTAAAAACTCATTTTCCAAATCTATCTCTAAAACACTTATCTTGTAGTTTTAATGTCATATAAGCTTTCCTTTAGCTTATATAACATCCAAACTTTCATTTCCAATCTTAAAAATCAAAGAAACTACCAAGGTTCAGCTTCTTACCTTTACTTGCAAGCTCCACGTTTGGAGAAGGAAGAGAAGAAGATAAGAAAGAAGGAAGAAGAAATGAGAGGATTCTGGAAACCTAATGCCCATGTGGGTTCTAATATAATCCCCAAAGAATATTTAATTATTTCATTTACTCAATTACTCTTTACCCTCTTAATTCAATCCTACACCAAATAACTCAAATAGATCATTACACTCTTCCATCATTTTACTTAAATCACCAAATGTTGAAACTTTGCAAATTAATCACTAACCCGGCATGGAGGATGTTACAAATCTCTCCCCCTTAAGAAAATTCATCCTCGAATTTTTCATTGCACGAACAAATGAGGGTAT